ACGCCCCCCCCCCCCCCCCCCAGCAAGTTGCTCCTGCCCTCTCCTCTGGCCAGACCCACACCAGCAGCTTGCTCCCTTCCCCGGCCTCACTCCCCACCAGCACTGTCCCCTGGGGCAGATCCCCACCAGCACCCTGCTCCTGTCCAGACATTCACCAGTACCCTGTCCCCTGGCTAGACCCCCACCAGCACCCTATTCCTGCTCCCTGGTCAAACCCCCACCAGCTCCCTGCCCCTTTCCCCAGACAAACCTCCCACCAGCATCCTGCTCCTACCTCCTGGCCAGACCCCCACCAGCACCCTCCTCCCTGGCCAGACCCCCAATAGCACTCTGACCCCTTTCCTCTGTCCAGCCACCCACCAGCACCCTGCTCTGCTTCCTCCGTCCTCCCTCCTAGCCAGACACGTACCACCAGCTTGCTCCTGTACCCTACTTCCACCCAGATTCTGCACCTTCCATCCCTATCCCTCACTGGCAGCCCCGTCCTGCACACTAGATCCCTCATTTTTGGCCTCACCTCAGAGCGTGGAGGGCTCCACAAAATCCACTAACCCTGGAACCCCAGAAGAGTAAATTTGGCCTGAGGCCTTGAGCCTCAGTCCTACCTATCCTCCCCATGGGGCTGGAGTGACAGGGCGAGGTGTCTCAGTTGGGGCCACATCAGTGAGGCTTGGGGGTTTTGAAAGGATTGTTTTTGGTTTTTTTGCATCTCACTTGTGTGGTCCCCGACTAATTTTTCTGTGGGTCAGTGGCCCCTGATCCAAAATAGGTTCCCTGCCCCTTCCATAAATAAAGACAATGCTGAAACATTTTGTGTTGGACATAACATTTTATTTAAAAATGAAGCCTGGCCAACAAGCTTCCAATTGGGGCCAAGCCCACATCTAGCTGCAGCATCATAACACTCCTGCACAACCCACAGACCCCATCATACACCAGAACCCCCTGCCCTGAGCCCCACACATCCTCAAACTCCTGCACCCCCACATCCCTGAACTCCTATACCACCCATATCCCCAATCTTCTGCCACAACACTCCTGTACCATTCACACACCTCAAACCTGTGCCCTGAGCCCATCATGAACCCAACCCCCCTGTCAGCACCCCTCATGCAGTCCAACCCAAACTCCTGCAACCCCACCTCCACAAGCCTGCAGCTTGCTCAGCACCCCAACCTTCCACCTGACCCCAACGCTCTCCAGCCCGGAGGCCCATCCCTGAGCCAGCAACCCCTTCTCCATCTCCTCCTGCACCCAAATTCCCTCCCAGAGCTTGTGCCTCACACCCCTTCCCACACCCAAATCCCTCATTCCCACTCTAGAGCCCATACCTCCTGTCTCAACCCAGTGAAAATGAGTATGGGCTGGGGACAACAAATGATGGAGAGGAGGAGAATGGAGGGGGGAGGATCTCAAGGAAGGGGTGGGGTTGATCTTGGCTTGCCCTGACATTTAAAAAGTTATCTTGGGTGTAAAAAGGTTGGAGACCACTGTTGTAGACTAATGCACTTTATACACCTCAAAGGTGGACATTGTTGAGAACACTCAATTTTTGAATGCACTACCTCCCCAAAGAATAGCTCTGTTACAAAGAGCAGATCTAGCTCTGCCCTCATGGATCATACTACTGCCTGCTAAATATTTGTATTACTTGATCCAATACTTGACAGATAACAGACTTAAGAGCCAACTTAGCCACTTGCCCCAATACAGTGGTATGTAACCTAGCATCGGCCAAGTTACAGAACTTTAAACTGATTTATTTAAGTGAGCACACTAGCTTGTGGCAGATACACCTGTTGCAATTATTAAATTGAAATTCAGTGGTTGGAAAATGTGCTTTATTCTCTGTTCAAATGCCCTACACAAGTGAGCATTCTGAGGAATAGCCACTATCAGGTCAGGGTCAGAGTGACTGTTTCTTATCCACATTCAGGCCAAAATGTTCAGGAAAACTAAAGTGTGTTGAAAGCCTTCTACAGAGTGCTAGGAAAAACTTAAGTATTCAGGTGTGTCTCAGCTGTATGAATCTACAAAGGCATTTCTCAAAGAACCATTTGTTTCCAAATGTAAGAGTTAGTTCAAAAATAGCTGTGTTATGATTCGTTAATTAGTTTTCCCCTTGGTCTCCACTAATGAGCCTTCAAAGTATCACCCCAATATAATGATATAATACCACTGCATGCATGCCCAGCTCCTACTACAGTTCAATTGCAGCGCTGCAGAGGGGCTAGCTCCTGGACCTGGCAGGAGCCCGGACAGAGCACCTCCCCTTATCAACTAATTGTGTACTTGATACGAACTGTATCAACTACACGATTAGTCAGTTACTCACTTTTTAACATCCTTACTTTGTACATTTCATTAATTTAAGCCTGTAAAGGAAACTTTAGCTAAGGCATGAAAGCAGAATAAATATAATAATGGCATAATGCCTCAGAGATTGACGGCTCTGATTCTCCTATACTGAGTCAGTTTTGAAGTATTACATTTTGTAATTCAAATAATTCACTCTTGTGGACATAAAACAATAGTTTTTAAAGCAAGTCAAAATGATTTACCCTTAACCCAACAAGTCTTGTTTATTTTGATTTCTTTAAAGCACTTACCTAGAGCTCTAGGTATTAGTACAACAAAACATTTTCTTAAACTCACTTCAAGGCTTAATTCTGATGCAACCAGAAGACCCATCATTTATTACGCTGTAGGATACAAAATGATCAACTGCTTGGAAATACCCTCACCCCATAATACAGTACTGAACGGCTGGTTAAAAGAGGGAGTCACTCAGTATTCCTTTTAAAGCATAAAACACAAGCCATTGCTAGAAGCAGTAGATGCAGTTAGGAAGAAGCTAAGTGAGGCTATGAGTAGAACACAATGTTTCAGGACAATTATACATTTTCTGTAATGTTGGTAGTGCTCAGGTTATTCTAGTTTGGAAAAAAGCTTATTTGATTGCAAAATAACCCTCTCTTTTATAAAGATGACACATTTATAAATTTTTCAGAAAATTGAGAAAATAAACTTACCACCCACGGTCTTTTTCTCTCAAGCATCTCTATTAAATCTAGATGACGCTTGCGTTCATAGTATCGCTCCACATCTTGCTTATACCGTTCGTTCCTTTGCTTCATTTTCTCCAAGAAATTGGTTTTCTCTTGCAATGAATTCTGTCAGAAAATATATTTTACACTAGTTGCTTTATTAAAATAAATACAAATGGGATATGTGGCAATTATGAAAAGAATGTCAACTAAGCAGAAAATAAGGATTTAACAAAAGCTTTGGTATAGTAGCTTTTTGTATTTAATTGCAAGTAACTTTCATTCCTCAAAAAGGGGAGAGTCAAACCACTAGTTACAGCCAATAGTACTGGAAAGTGCAGGACAACTTTCCCACATAGCTGTGCCATGGAAATTGAGGTTTGATATAAGTAATGAGATGCAAGGTGGATCTTTTATTGGACCACGCTCTGTTGATGAAAGAGACAAGATTACAAGATTACAAAGCAAAAATGTTTCTTCCACCCACAGAATCTGGTCCAATTATAGATATTACCCCACAAACCTTGTTTCTCTAGCATTATGGGCTCAACACTGCTAAAACAACAATGCAAATAAAAATAAACAAGAGCAATGCAAACACAATTTAGATAATCAACAAACATTTTCTGATAACACAAATAATTCTCCATTGATCAAGCTGCTTTATTCATTTTGTTCTTTCTTGAATGAATTCTTAATTGAACAAAAATGTCTCTACTTTCACTACTAATTAGACAAAATAAACTTAGTTTTCTGCACCTCTTTCTAATTCCTTTATATATCTTGTTTAATTAGATTAACAGGTTATCATAAAGATTACAAAGATACTATATGGCAAACAAAGTGACATTTAATCAACTGTTAGCTTTGTATGGTCATAGTATTTAGTCAAAGTCACTGCTTGCCATACAATATTCTAGTCCTTAAATTAGAAGCTGTGTGAATGCCCTTATTCATCCCCTTTTCCCTCACCATTATTTTTCTTTATGGCTGGTATGTTAACATACTAAATTTTATTCCAGTGACTCTCAAAGTGGCCCAAGGATCCACTCTGAGGGTACGTCTAAACTACACCCCTTTGTTGGCAGAGGGATGTAAATTAAACGTATCAAAAATGCAAATGAAGCGGGGATTTAAATATCCTGTGCTTCATTTGCATAATGGCAGCCACTGCTTTTTTCAAAATGGGGCTTTTCGGAAAAAAACAGCAGTTTAGACGGGGCATTTTCAACAGAAATGCCCCGTTTTGAAAGATCCTGTACTAAGGAATACAGGATCTTTTGAAACAGAGCATTACTGTCTAAAATGCCCCATCTAAACTGCCATTTTTTTCTGAAAAGCCCCATTTTGAAAAAAGCAGTGGCTGCCATTATGCAAATGAAGTGTGGGACATTTAAATCCCTGCTTTATTTGCACTTTCAATGTGTCTAATTTACACCCCTCTGCCAACAGAGGTGTATAGTTTAGACACCCCAAGAAACCTGCTAACGGGCCACTATGGTGTGTTTATTAACTGGCTCTGCAGCCGCAGAGCCTCATTGCTCCCATTGGCTCCAGTTCACTGTTTGCAGCCAAGATAGGCAGAGATGAAACAGGGTACTGTTATGTTGCTAAGCATTAATGGGTGTCATTAATTAGTTGTTTGATCTTCAGATAATTGCATATGTGATTGAAACTGTGGTTGTACTAATGAGATGGAAGAGGCTTCAAGTGTCCCTATTTTTCCCCTTTTGGTTTTCAGATTTTCATCCAAATCAGTAAGGTTCTGGATACTTTTGTCTAAAATTCACTTAAAATTTGGAAGGGATTTGATGTTGCCTATTGTACTAATAATACAGAAAACAAATGGTACTGAATTGAGTACAAAGCTTTTGCAAACTTGGCCATTTAGCTCTATACTGACACCGCGTTTCCTGGTCAAAAGCCCAACTTTTAAATAGGAGCATTTCCTTTTTATGCCATTATATAAATGACCATACAGTCAGAAACAATTATTCTTGTAAAAGTATCACATTGTAAAAACTACCTGACATCTACTTAATATTGGTCAGATTGAAAAAAAAAAAAAAAAAAAAAAGAGAAGGTTCATGAAAATCTCTCCTATCGCTGTTCCTTTATTATGCAGATGATTACCTCAAGTTCTTTCTCTCTCTCTCTGAAGGTTTTTAGTTCACAGTGAAATTGATACATTTCTGGTGGGCCAACTGATTTTTCTGTGGCTTCAAGAAGCTCAGTCTTGGACAGCTTTGCAAATTCCCCAACTTTGTCCTGCAAAACAGGGACCCAATACCAATAATGCTGTACATCTGATATAGTACTGCAACAAATGATAATATATTGCAAAATATTGGCCTCTCTCAAGCTAATATTCACATATCACATAGATTTATATGTCAAACACCTTTGGAAGTTAGCTCGAATTATTATTACATGTGCATATCAGTTATGACAGACAGCCCTATGACTCTCTAATCCAGATTCCCCCAGTATCCTAACAAGAGTTAGCACATGACTTATTCATAGTTCTCCTGGGTGAAGAAATTAATGATCAAATTTTGTTCAAGGCTTTCTGGGAATCACTTGGAACGCTTCTCCAACTAACCAAAAAAGCACTACAATACCCAATACTCAAAATTTCACTGCCACATTGCCAGAATTTGTTCTAAGGTCATTTTCCCATTAAGGACTCATCAACACTGAAAAATTGATTTTTAAATATTAGTTACTGCATTAACAGTTGAAATGCCACCCGATACAAATTATGTTGCCCAACATGTTTTCAAATGTCACTTTTCGACCCTAACCTAAAGAATGTATAATGAAATTTGTCTGTGCTGAATTTCAGGCGTTGTAGGCAGCCAACTACCTACATGATAGCGATCTGTTCTACTTTAAATGCAGAGCTGCAATGGGGGTAGGTCCTGGACCTGGCGCAGTCAGCCTGCTAAAAACATTTACTGGCTGGACAGGGGGAAATGCATGTAGTCTACAGCATTAACCAATAAGCTTTTGTTTATCAATTAATCAACTGCACTATTACATCACTATCCTAAACTTGATCCCTATCCATTGGACCATATCATCTCTAGCACATGATCCGTTTGTTATGGAAGATTACCTAATATGACAAAGTCAGAGAGCCTTAAAACATTATGTATGCCAAACACATCTACATACAAAAAAATATTAAAAATCATTCATGATTCAATGGTTAAAATTGGGCTTTTTGTGCCCATTTTGGCCTTCCAAAGAGCCATTTCTAGTCCCCTATTGAAAGTCAGTCACAAACCCCTTCTCCCTCACTGCCCCACACCCAAAAAAAAGCAGTACTCCAGTTGTGCCTGTTATTGTCTCTCCTACCTGTGGAAGAAACTGGCACAGATTGCCCACTTGAACATTTAAGGCTGCAATCTGCTCCTCCACTGTTTTCAGGGTTGAAGGTTTTTTATTGATAAACCATGTTGATGCATTGTTTGCTACTTGAATCTCACGAGTGATGACGAGATTACTAGGAATCTTAAATCTGATTAACAGAAAAAAGAGAGGTTGAGTGTTTACAGTTTTGGCAACTTTGTAAATATGCATGCAGACTGCACTGGTAACACATCTTACCATTTTAAATAAAAAGTGGTCCAAAATGTTTGATGGTAATTATTCTACTACTAACTGAATTAGGGATGTATAAATCCTGCTTATGTTTAATAAGTGAACCAATTAAAGGGGGACAAGCAGGGAGAGGGGAAGTTGGCTCCAGTTGGGATGAAGTGTCCCCCTCCTCCCCCGCAGTGGGCTGGATCACCCCCCTTGCCTGCCACTGGGCTGGAGCATCCCTTCTCCTGCACAGGCAGGGTATGCTCTGGTGTCCTGATTAGTTAAACCTTCACACCCCTAAACTGAATGTTTCAATTTAAAATGTTAATACAAAATTACTAGAGACTAGATCCAAATTCAAGAATGTAATAAGAACTGCTGCATATTATTTAACGGTATAAGAAGAATAAGCAGTGAAGAATAAGCAGTGAAGTCCATATGCAAGTTGTCATTAATCCGATTTAATTTATTTAGTATTTATTCAGTTAACACTTCTTTTAAAAAAACTTTGGTCTGAAATAGCTATGTTAAGATGCACGTCATTCATTAAATGTTGTCAACTATATGATTAATTGATAAGGGGCTGCCGGGTTGGTCCGGTAGCGCCGCCCCTTGGCGCTGCGAGATCAACCCAGCAGCACCCCAGTTGCTCTTGGGGACACCTGGGGCAGAGCAGCTGGGGTGCTGCCAGGTTGGTCCCGCAGCGCCAAGGGGCGGCGCTATGGGACCAACCCCGCAGCACCCCAGCTGCTCTGCCCCAGGCATCCGGATTCAGCCTGCTAGTGAAATGGATGCTGCTGGTGAAACTGACGCAGCTCTGCCCCGGGCTTCCTGGAATCAGCCGCTGATCTGTTTCAGCAGCGGCTGGATCCGGGGCCCC